AAGTTTAGACGGAGATTTCGAATTATGAAAAGTGTAACCTAAATAAAGAAAAGGAAATGAAATTATTTTTCGCTCTCTTTTATTTCACAATATTTTACTTTTCCTGCACTTTTACAAAAAAATTTTAAAATAGGAATTATTATAATTTAAAAATATTTATCCACCGAGTAGTTTTAACTCAAATTAAAGTTGCTAAATTTTTACAGGAAAACTAGTTGTACATTAGATGGACTCATGTGTACAAACGTTATAGAGTACAAGCTGATAGATTTTTAGTTTAGTTTATTTTCTATTTGAATGTAAATGTTTAAATATGAACCATCTATTGTAAACATAAATTTTATGAACTAGAATGACTCTTTTGTGCATTGGGTTTTTACTTTTGTGATAAAATGAAACTATTAGATAGGTTTCTTTTGTTTGACCGTCAGTTCTCACCTTGGTAAACCCAAGCACACCGGGTCTGGTCATGACACCTAACTCGTAGGATCAATGCTCTCATATTCTTAAAGCTACTCTTAGCTAAATTCATGCAATAAGAGTTCTCTTTAAGCCTATATTAACTCTAATATAAAAATTTTGATCGATGAATTTCCACGTTTCAGGAAGCCAAACAGAGTGGAGTATGGTGTGATTTGAATTTTATGTAAAACAAAAAAAAAAAAAAAAAAAAAAAAAAAAAAAGAGAAGAATTTTGTTAAAGGAGAAAATTAGGCAATGAGTGAGAAGAAGCTCTTCCTCAAATCATTTTTCTCTCTAGCTCTGCAACAACAACCCTCTCTCAAACCTCAAAACTCAAGCTATAACAATCACACTCCCCATAAAAGAAGAAGAAGAAGACTAAGTCTTCTATCCCTTATCTTGACTTCCCTTCTATACATAAAGAACACATGTTATAACATTGTCTAACATAAATGCAATGTAGCATATTATTCATTTCATACTTCTATTACAGGAAATGACAACAAATTTCTCTCTAGCTCTACCTTATTTGCTTATTGCATAGCTCCCAACCACTCTTACGAATCTCTCAAGTCACCTTCTCGAGTTATTTTGATGTCATTTCCTCTCGATAAAGTGTTTCTAGCTCACAAAACCTCTCAATAACATTATAGATGTGCTTAAGTCTCCCTTCTTAGCTAGTCTCCACATCATTGAGTCAGCTAATTTTCTAACCCATCAATAAAATCACCTGAGGTTTACTTTATTTTTTAGGAACGAAATTTTCCATCAAAATAAATCCTATAATTAACTACACTAAACGATATTAAAAGCACTCTTTTTTTTCTCATACACGCACCCAAACACACACACATCACGTATGCAAAGCTTTGAACCTAGGACCGTTTGATTACCTTCCTCAAATCATTTTTCTCTCTAGCTCTCCAACAACAACCCTCTCTCAAACCTCAAAACTCAAGCTATAACAATCACACTCCCCATAAAAGAAGAAGAAGACTAAGTCTTCTATCCCTTATCTTGACTTCCCTTCTATACATAAAGAACACATGTTATAACATTGTCTAACTTAAATGCAATGTAGCATATTATTCATTTCATACTTCTATTACAGGAAATGACAACAAATTTCTCTCTAGCTCTACCTTATTTGCTTATTGCATAGCTCCCAACCACTCTTACGAATCTCTCAAGTCCCCTTCTCGAGTTATTTTGATGTCATTTCCTCTCGATAAAGTGTTTCTAGCTCACAAAACCTCTCAATAACATTATAGATGTGCTTAAGTCTCCCTTCTTAGCTAGTCTCCACATCATTGAGTCAGCTAATTTTCTAATCAATAAAATCACTTGAGGTTTACTTTATTTTTTAGGACAGAATAAATCCTATAATTATGCTAAAGGATATTAAAAGCACTCTTTTTTTTTTCTCATACATGCACCCAAACACACACACATCACATATGCAAAGCTTTGAAAGATAATTGATTGCACTCTTATTTAAAAAATGATATTGATAATTAATGAACAAATAACAATGATCAAATTTAAAGAAAATGACATGTAAGAAAATCACACAAGAAAAAAAACTATATATAAGCAATAAAAATAAACAAAAAATAAAAATTTCTTTCATTTCATAAATAAGTGTTCAATAACTGATACAACCGAAGGGGAAAAAAAATTTGAAATAACAATGAATAAATAACTAATAAAACCCAAAAGATAAATAATTAAATAAAATATTCAAAATAATCAAAATAAATCTAAAGTTAAAAAGTATGTTCTTATATTTATTATTTTTATTATTTTTATTCTTAAATAGGCAAAAAAGCAAAATGAAAAATCAAACCACATAATTTATTATTTTTTAATTATTATTTTTATTATTATTAGGAAAAAAAGCATTTGTCAAAATTGTCATTAGAGCAAAATAAACATGTCCAATCATTTTAATAAAATATGAAATCACCTACAATCAATTTTATGTATTTTAATGTCATCATTTCAAATATGATTAAGGCTTACTAATGTTTGAATTAATAATACTTATTATTAAATTTCAATTAAAGTTATATTTATATAATCAGCCTATTAAACGCCCTGAAATCGGAAAGATAAATATCAACTCAAGAAAATTTGCTAATTTCCCGTAAAATCTTCACTCTATGGGTTTATCGGTCTTGCTAGCCCACATCCAATGGGATTTTACCAACCTACAAATCATGACACACAAACATACAACTACATATTCTTAAGCATATAATTATTTAAATAACATGACCAACATTTTTACATACAACGCGCTAGAAAATAAAATATTATAATTACACAACTTAATCCGATGAACAAAGAATTATGCAGAGATTAAATAAGATAAATAATCATTTCATTAAGAGCAATAAATAAATCAAATATAAGATGTTTAGCAAAACAAGTGAAATAGAACTCGCAAACTAACAAAAAAAACTAAAAATGTAATATAAGACATAAGGATAATGTCTATAACAATGAAGGGCATGCTTATCAATGAATTAAATAATCCCTAAAAATTAAAAATAAATAAACGTTATAATAACTAGGGCTGTCAGTTTCGCTCGTTTTTCGTGAACAGCTAGTGTTCGGTTCGTTAAATGAGCCGAACACAAACAACTGTTTGTTCGCTCGTGTTCGGCACGAAATGACTCGAAAAAAAAATTATATAATTTTTTATATAACAATATATTTCATATTCATATATTATTTATATATATAATAATATATTATATATATTTATGTCTGAGTTTAAATCATAACACCTCATGTGACAATGTGGTTAGTGTCTTATTTTGTATATATTTGATCCAGGTTCGAATCCCACACTTTATATCTATTTTTCTCAATTTTAGTTTAACAAGCCAATTTCGAGCCGAACACGAACACACTGTTCACGAGCCAATTTCGAACACGAGCTATTTCTAACGAGCCGAACACGAGCCAAGCTTGAGCTCGCTCAAGCTAGGCTCGTTTACTGCCCTAATCATAACAATAATAATTAACTAGTATTATTTTTGCTTATAATTAGCAATTACTAAAATCAAAGTAAATAATAATAATCAACAAATTAAATATTCTCAAAAATATATATTAACTGATAGTAATATAGCATATTATTTATGTTGACACGATAATCACACACTCCAAATAAGAAGAATAAGACTAAATCTCCTATCTCTATCTTGACTTACATTACATAAAAAAGACATAACATAGCATATGCTAACTTAAATGCAACATAGCATATTATTTATGTCTTACATTTATTACATTGTCTTTTCCATGTCTCTCTAACTAGTCCTCACATCATTGATCAACGAAATCATTAAAAGTTTATTTTATATTTTGGGAAAAAAAAGTCATCAGAAAAAACCCCTATAATTAATTACATTAAAGGATATTAAAGAAGACTCTTATTTAATGAATGTCATTGGTAATTAATGAACTAATAACCAATATAATATTTGAGGAAAATGACATATAGGAATATTGCAAATGATGACACCATATTTCGAGCAATTAACAAAGATTAGTCAAAGTTAAAGCACTAAATATAAATAAAAAATTCAAAATATTTATTGCTGAAATCAATAATACAAGTTAAAGATTTTGATTCTGACGACTCCCAAACAATAAGAAGCAATGCATGGGCTAAAGGTGCTCTTGAAATTAACTTCGTTATAATAATGAAACCTAAATTCTAATCTAAGTTATAAAGGTTGTATAAGATCATTGATCTCATGATATAATTAAGGATACATGTGCTTGGAATAGTGGTGGGACTTGTAGTATAATTGGGGAATCCCACCTAAATACTAGTCTAATTTAGTTAGTCTAATGTTCATCACAAAATTATAATATGCATTCTAAGAATTCTAGGCCTATACTTATAATGTTAGATGGCATGAATGCATTATAACTCATCTAACTCAATAAAGTAGGCAATTATTTCATGTTTATGATGAGGGCCAAGCCTTAAAAGAGGCAAAGTTATGACTCATACTTTGAATGGTCATCATTTATAATAATAATAATAATCTTTATAATATTAATATATGGTTACATAAGGTAATCCTAGCTAATTATTTTGCAATAACTAATAAGTGCATGTAACCCCTTTTTTTTGCAATAATTAATATGAGCCAATCAAATTTAAAAAAAAAATCAGAATCTCATGATACAAAATTGAATAAAAATATAAAATAATTGTTCATGAATAATTACTTTTTTAAAATTATAGTATGTACGTATGTATGTAATATATCATAATATATATATATATGTGTGTGTGTGTCTGTGTGTTGCATACCTCGGTCTGTTGGTTTGCATCCTCGGTATAAGTCTACTTAGGTCGAGGATTTGAATCCTCTCTGGCACAGTTAATCTTAAAAAGGTGATACTCGAATTGTTAAACACATTAGGAATGACTCTATGAGCTTTCCTTTTTAAACTATTATATATATATAAAGTATTTTTTAATTTTATATAAAATGCAAGAGGTCAATATATAAATTAAAATAAAATTTTATTAGAATTAAGCAAAACTTCTTATAATACCAACAATTATTGCTCAACAGCACTAGCTTTCAGAAACAGTATAATAGTCGATTACAGGACACGAAAACTAAGCAGAAATAAAGCTGACACAGACAGAAGCACCAAATGAGACAATCAACACTCCCAGCCAAATTAACCAAACAAAAGCAGAGCATTAACTATTTAAAAATTTGAACTTGGATCCAACGGCTAGTCACGGGCGCCTCAACTCGTACAAGGCTCACGTGAAACACCGACGCGCCGATTCGGCAGATCGAAGAGAACTCTGTGATTCTGCTGTTGCATGCTCGCGATCACATTCAGCACAGAGTTCACGTTGTCCGGCGCCGACGCCATGGCCAGGCAAGACAGAGTTCCCCTGCTGCTGTGAATGATGGTGTTTTCCTCTGATAGAGTCATGTTCATTCCGTCGAACTCGAATGTGATTGTGGGAAAGACTACGGGTCCGTTGTAGCAGGTGTCGAACCCGCCGAGGGAGGAGACGGTGGAGTTAACGCGCAGCCGGAACTCGTCGCGCAGGGCGGTGTAGGCCGGGGAGACTAGACGAGTGAACATTGTGCCGGAATCGAAGATGGTTCCGGCGCCGGTGGAAGAATTGAAGGCGAGAGCGGATGGTGGAATTGAGAGGCGTTTGCGGCCGACTCTTATTGATTTTAAATTGACGTAGTAGAGGGAAGGGCGGTGGGGGTTGGAGAGCAGGGGAGTGGTGTGGATGCGTTGGGGTTGGCCGGAGAGTCCGAGGCGGAGGGTTCCGGCGAAGTTTGGGGAGAGGAAACCGGGGAGGCAGTAGGAGAAAGTGGAAAAGTAGAGGTTTTTGGTTTGGGAGATGAAGGAGAGAGGGCCGCGGCCGAGGCCGAGGAGGCCTTGAGGGGGAAGGGAGCCGCCGGAGGTCGAGGCGATGCAGGCGAAGGTGTAGGAGGAGATGGAGTCGGAGGCGAGGGAGAGGGTGTCTTGAGCGAGGGTGGTGGAGATGGAGGAGCTGCCGTAGGTGAAGTTAAAGGTGCAAGTTTTGGCGGGGCAGGAAGGGATGGGGAGGAAGGAGCAGGGAGGGGAGTTGCAGGTGAGGGGGAGGAAGGAGGAGGAGCGGTTGGGGGAGAAGAAGACGGAGGAGGGAAGGCAGCCGGAGCAGGAGGAGCAGGGGAGCCAGGCGACGTCGCTGCTGATGTCGAGGGAGACGAGGAGGGGTTGAGGGGGAGTGCCGAGGAATGCGCGGGCGACGTAGGTAGAGGATTGGAGGAGATTGCGGCCGGAAGCGATGGGGACGAAGGAGCGGCGGCGGGAGGGGGCGGCGGCGGCTGATAGGTAGAGGAAGCGGGAGACGTCACGGTTGGAGAGAGAGAGAAGGGTGGTGTCGTGGAAGGGGGAGGGAGGGGAGCAGGGGCTGAAGGTTGGGAGAATGTGGAGAGTGGAGCCATGGTCGGGTGGAGCAGAGCAGGGTCCGAGGGGAGAGAAGGCGGATATGAAGGGGAAGAGAGATGGAAGTGTGGCTATGAGGAGGAAGAAGAAGGGCGGGGGAAGAGCCATGGATTATGGGTTTGGTTTGGGGGAGAAAAAGAAGGCTTTTTGGGAGTTTATAAAGAGGATTTTGGGGAGGAGGAGAGGGATGGGGAATGGGTTACATATGATGTACAGACTGTAATCGATTCTGTGAGTCTATCTCCCTCTACCGCAAGCTTTCTCTCTCTATATACATATCAGATGTGTGGACTGACGAGATGTCTGCCATTAAAAGGTCGAGGACAGTGCAGTCCAGTGCGAGAAATGGTAGTTGTTTTGTTTGGGGACTCGGCAGTGTAAAAATCGAGGGAGGGCTCCCTCTCCCTCTATTCACTCTTCTAACCCCCTCTCTCTCTCTCTCTTGTTTCTCTCTCCAACGTTTTAGTGCATGAGATTGACAAGGGTGTTTATGTAAATTTCATTTTTTAATTTGTAAAGTTGCATATTAAGAAAAATATTACATATTTTATAACTACGTGTGAATAAGAGACAAAATTATGAAGGAGAATTATGAAGGAGATGAAAAAAATATATTATATATTTTATAACTACGTGTGAATAAGAAAGATTAGTTTAATGCATAATTCAGTATATGGATGGTTAAGATTAATTTGATGAATATGAATGAATGGTTGTGATGTTTTTTTGTTGGCAGTGATGTGTAAGTTGACAATTGTTTCATTATGATTTTAAGAGTTTATCACATATTCATAAGGATCGTCAATCTTTCCCGTGCTTGAATGAATTGGGTAGGGGAAATAGCTTTTGTAGATATATCTATAATTTAATATTGCGAGCAATATGTTGAATTGAGCTGTAACGACTAAATTATTGAGAAGAATCATAACAAATAAATTGTCACAACATAGAGATTTAATTAAAGGGAACAAAATATCAAATTTAAGTAGTAGTCAGCGAAACTAGATAAGGCCTATGGCTGCTTTGACTAGGAGATGGCATTTGATTTATGTTTTGAGGATCATCAACTCATTCTAAATTCGAGTGAGCCTAGGGTTGTGGTTTTGTTGACAACATATTGGAAGGCCTCCATCCTTTGGTGCATTTGACTGGGCATTTGAGAAGTTGATAATTTAGATTGAGAAGGCACTGAAGTCTTACTAATTATGTAGAAAAATAAGAATAATATAACATACATCATTTATTATTTGTTTGACAAGGCAAGGGAACTCTAAGTATTTGTCAAAGCCATTAGGTCTTAAAATTTTGAAAAATTGAGTTCTCCATGTTGAGTGATTACGTGATATAAAATGGATGCATGTTGATCATATTTAATTAAGAAAGTAAAGAGATGTACCTCATTTTAGGAGAAGAGATTTCAATACTGCTCGGAGTCGTTGGCTATTGTGGCTTCTGTTAGATCCATGAAGCAAGAAGTAGAGGAGAGGTCAAAACTATAGGAGAAAAAATGGGCAAAGAAGTAGACTAAAGAGGCCAATGAAAGGCAGAAGAAGAAAAAAATAGCCAAATATGTGGACTAAAGAGCCCAATCAGGAACTCAAATTATTAAAAATTCTCAATTTGGCATAAGTACATATAATCATAAATAATATAATTGTTTTAAAATTTATTACATATTTACATGCAAGTATATATAGTGTTTGCCAAAACAATGTTTCTAATTTCAAGCAAGCAAATAAGGCCGTCATAACTACTTGACTCAATTGTCAACCTAGTTTGCATTACTTTATTGTACATACCACCCAATTCCTACGTATTAACATATCTAAAAACTATATTTTGTTATTTACATTTTACCATCTAGATCATTTATATCACATACCACCATTTTAACTTCTAAAAAGTGAGACACACCTAATGCATAGGTAAGATGGTATGCATGTAAATCTCCCACATCTTTCTCTCTCTCTCTCTCTCTCTCTCTCTCTCTCACATTCGAGATTGTTTCACAGATTCACACCCATGGAATTGAGCATAAAATAAGAAGAGATGGAGAGAGAAAGAAAATAATGAGCAGTGATGAATAGTGTCATCTTCATAAAATATTTTCCCTGTTTATATGAATGATAGTACAATTGTCATATTATATGTTTGCCCTCTTTCGGAAATGGTCTGTATTAGGATATTTCTCGTATTTTGCATGTATGGGCTTATCGCTCGACTGCCTTCATGCTCGGCCGTCTAAGCTTAGTTGACTTCAGGTTAACAAGTTCAGCTCGATCAGTTTAGATGGTCGGTACGGTTCAGTCGGTAAATGCAACCTGGTTGACTATCAATTCCAGGTGAGATGGTCGCATGTATCTTGTGAATTGGAGCTTCCTTTGGATTGGCTCTATTGAAGGGGGTAGACTATCACATCGAGTAAACTTTCCTACAATAAAAGGCTCGGATGCTTCTCTGTCTTATGTTTAGTTTTATGGCTCGTATTTGAATCGTCTGGTTGTCTTCTTGTCCGCCTCGTCGGTCGATTTTGGCCGGATTAGTTTGGCTCGTAAAATTTTTCTCGCTCGGTCAAAAATAAATTCTAATATATGTATATATGTTTGTAGGTGATGCAGGGCATAGAAAAATGGGGAGCAAATGCGGGCTGGGAACGCACTCCATGGGTGATGGCCAGCTATATATAAAGTATGGATCTAAAACGATATGTTTGGATCCTTTGAGTGGCTTTGTTGGTCAATACTCGTGATGGCCAGCTATTTATACGAGTGGGAACAACGATTGGAGTTATCCCGTACAAATCACTTGCACTGCACCTCCACAACCCCTAATATTATATATATATATATATATTATATATATATATATATATATAATTCTAAAGGTTTATAAGAAAAGTCTACTATTTCATTAGCCTATTATTATAAGAATGATATATTTTAGGAAAAGTTACATACACACCACAAAATTCTTATGTATTTACATATCTAACCCTCAAAGTTTGAAATTTAGATGTAGAACATAGTTGGTGTCAAAAATCTATGCATGAAAAGGAGTATTTTTATTGTTAAAATGAAAATGATTGTGATATATTTGATGTGATTTTGAAGATTTGAATGGTTTGCATATAATTATATAAATATTAATGATTAATTAGGTATTAGATGTGTAAATACATAGGTATTATATGGTACATACGTAAATATCCCGACATTTTAAATACTTCAAGAATAGAGTAAATTAAAGTAGGCTAAACCATCTCGTGTTAGATTAGGAGCTCAGTCTTGAAGATCTTGTAGGTTTCTAAGACTTGGCTAATAATGAGCTAAGAATCTCCATAGACTTTGATTCTCTTGACCCCCATCTGAACAGCTAACTCAAGTCCTTAAATCAAGCCTTCATATTCGACAACATTATTAGTACATGTTTATAATTTCTTTGGTGAGGGTAAAATTATATTAATAGGAAATTGTCGACTTAATTGGCTAGCGGGCTAGAGGTTGGCTATCATGTAGTCATGTCGACATCATTTCATGTTAGCTGACTTGACCTTATTAGATGAATTTAAATAAGTCTAATCTGACATGGCTGATTACACCTTGATTTTATATTTCCTTCTCTAATTAAGCCTATAGGATATTGGCACGTGTCCAATGATGAAACTTAATCTGGCATCTCCAAAGTCTATTTCATGCCGAAGTGTGGCTCGTAAGTCAACTTATTTTCTTTGCAGTAAAGTAATTTAAATTTTCATTCCATCTTATAATGAAACTAATGTTTCAATTGCAGATTCTATCTCTCCAATCCGCCCATGATGCGGATCACAAAGATCATCCAAAGATGCTCCGGGAGACTGAGTTTTATAATGTAACTAACGTTTCAACTTTCTCCGATGCTAGTTTACGTCAGCTAGTTTCAATGCTCATGTGTTGTTATGTTAGCGTCGTTCATATTCTCGATGAAAATTTTTAGTTACAGATCATGGCGACACAAATTCAAACTCTAATAAAAATACAATGCAAATTAATTAGTGATGCCAAATTTAACATCAATTTTTTTTTTTACGCTAATCCGACACTAATTGAGTTTAACATCAGAAAATGACCCCAATTAGTCCGTGCTAATCGGGCAATTTCCTATAGTGATTTTTCATGAATGATTAATAGTTATGAATTCCTTAATACAATCACCTGCAATAGAGTATTGTGTTTCTATATTGGAGGGGAGCAGTTACCAAGTCTTTCACGTAAAATTTGTATATGTAAAACATAATTTCTATTCAATGTATATCAATAATACAAAAAAATGTCCAATTTAGAGGTGTTGAATTCAAAAGTGTCCAGGAAACACAGCAAAAGAGTGAAACGATTCTGTTATGAAGTGATTAGAAGAAAGAGTGAGAGGGAGAGCATTAGTAAACATAGAAAAAGAGTGTTCTATTCATGATATGGACCCCTATTTATAGATTTTTGGTTATAATATTACAAAACTACATATTAGCCCTCTCATTATTAGCTTTTCAGGGGACTTTTTGCTTATTACAGAGTTATTTGCATATAATAAGACTGAGGGCTGATTCAGTCTATGAGGGTTACCGATCACCAGACAAGTCTTGATTCGATTGATATATATTCTGAACTTGTGCTCTCTATCGATCGTCCTGAAGGCTGATTGTCGTTTTGCGGAAGTTTCTTCTGACGATTTCTGTCAATCGTTCGTATGAGATGCTTCCTTCTCTAATATTCATCCAGAAATGATCTTTGAAGACTACGCTCGATTGTCCACATCTTCTTTCTAAACCGACCATCTTCTTTGAGATTCCGACAGACATATTTCTATATGTGCATAATTAGTTCCTCGATTAGCTTGCTCATCAGAAGTTGTGCAGTCCCTGAGGATAAGAGAATTTTTTAACATATATGAAATTATTAAATGATATTATTGCCAATAATGGACTTCCCTGGATTTTCATGCCGGGCTATTATAAATAAGCATCTGCAAAATATTAATTATGTTTATCTTTAAAAAGATAAAAATAAATAAAAATAAATTTCATTCATTATAAATTTATAATATATTTAACTATTGACCATTGATATTTGAAATTTTATTTGGTTGCATTTCTTTTGTCATAGCTATTTAAATTATATTGATAAAATCTAAATTCAATCATAGCAAATGTAGGCTTAATACTTAGTCCTTCATTTCAATAAGTTTGATTAAACCTTACATTATTATGAGTTTTTGTTAATAATTCTTGTAATCATACTGAGAGCGCGGATTCAAAAATATATGCCGTTGAGTGAATACTTAGAAGAAGTTGACCATCTCATCTTCTCTTAATAATTTTCTCTGTGACTTTTATAACATCCAGGGGGTGTAAATGAATCGAACACGAACAAATAGAGTTTGTGTTCGTGTTTGGTTCCTTTGAAATTTAGTTTGTTTGAAATACGCTCGTGTTCGAAATTATTCGTGAAGTCACTGTTTATGTTCGTTTCTTAATGAATGCGCCGAACACGAACTGTTCGCGAACGACGAGTCAGCTTGACATCCCTAATATTAATAGATATAAATAATATATTATATTAATTATATAGCTTATATTATATAAATATATAATATCTATATTAGTATATTACTAATATATTATATTAATATATTATTACTATTAATTTATTATATATTATAATTTCTAAAATTTAATTTTTTTAAATATCATAAATTTTTATATATAATTATTTTAAATTATTTTATATTTCGAACAAAAACGATTCGAACACGAACGAACGCATCACTGTTCGTGTTTGGTTCGTTTAACTAACTACTTATCGAACGAATCGAACACGAACTCATTGACGAACCGAACACGAACACTTCGCGAACAACGAGCTTTTTTGACAGCCCTAATTAACATCTTTAGATTTCTAAATAGGCATTTAATTTAGTTTTTGCTCTATACATTTCATCATATAATGATAATTTTTAATCCGTGTCAAATATTCATAATAATCCTATAAGTGGCGCACATATTTTTTTGTCATAATTAAGCAATAAATCCAAAATCTATTATCTAAAATAATAGAACTCTAGCCTTTTCCTTTAATTATTTTTTTTTTCCAAATTTGAACATGCATAATACATGGTTATATCAAGTGTGTGTAAATCATACATATACGTGCCTGAATACCTTTTAATGTAATGAAAGTCATTGTAAACTGAGTTGCTTGGGGACGCACAACTAAAGGTCTGTTTGGGACAGCTGTAGTTTATTGAATAATCTGCTGATAAGCTAATTAAAAATAATTTGCTGATAAACTATGTTCGGTGGCTATTACAAATTTTAATTTTTTTTGAAAAAGTCAGACCATTGCTAATAAGCTTCCACCGCACCTAGATAGGTGCAGTGTGAAAGCACTTTTTTTCAAACGGGCCCAAAGGCTTCATTTGAGTAGAGGGTGAACTTCTTTTGCATTGTCATGCACCCTAACAGGTATAAAAGTTTTTGTTTGGTGAAACATGATCTCCCCGGCTTCTCCAAAAATTTGTTTCGTAAATTGATAATTTTTCGTCATTTTACATCACAAGTTGTCTTCTCATTTTCCTTCAATGGGCTTAGACTTTCAATATAGCTTAGTTGAACGATAAAACTCTTTCACATTCGTTGGAAAGGAAAAGATATTGCTCATTATAGACATCAGACACGTATAGCGGATGTCCGATTTTTTTTTTTCTCTTCCGCTCTATCCGCTGTATCGCGTCCGTTATCCGTCTGGATATGTTTTTCTTGAAAAGAGGAGATATGTGGCATAAGATACTTTAATCTCAAAAAAATAAAAAAAAAATATTTGGGTGTAGGGCTGTGAATTTAGCTCGAAGATCATTAATCGCTCGAAAAATGATTCAATTTTGGCTCGAATAAAGATTGGATCGAAATAAATGAGCCGAGTTGCGAGCCAAAATTTTAGAATAAATTTTTTTCGAGCCGATTTCGAGCCAACCCCAACTTATCTCAAAATCAAATCCTTGACATCCCTAATGATGTTAAGACAGAAAAGGTAGCGAATTTATCTCGAAAATCGTTAATAGCTCGAAAATTGATTTGAATTTTGGCTCAGATGGAGATCAAATCAAAATAAATGAGTCGAGCTATCAATCAAAATTTTGGATCGAACTTCTTTTTAACCGACCTCAGCTCGGCTCAAAATAGTAGCATTAACAGCCCTATTTGGGTGTTAGATTTCTAAATTCATGACAATTATGTGGTATATATGTAAATAACCCAACAAATCCAAACCGAAAATTTGGGCGGGAAATCGTTCACGAAACTACGCCTCCGGGGATTAAAATATCCCCGTTCTCGAAACTCCGTCTTCTTTAATTCTCCTCACTTCAGAATGAGGCAGTTCGGCCAAGCCAAGCTTCCTGCTTCTTACATCTCCAGATCAAGGTATAAATCACCTGTAATGATTTCTACTGCTACTCTAATGCCCCATTTCATCTCTTACGCTTGAGATTCTATATTTCTAGGGTTTTTTTCTGAGTTATTTGGTGTATCCTTGTTCCAGTTATGTCATTCAAGATCGACAAGTAAAAGTTTCGAAGAAGCCGGTCACTCTGTCCGAGTTCTTAAACAGAAAGCTAGGAAAAACCAGAGGAAAATTATTACAGGTGATTAATGTCTGCTTCTGTAAAATCTCGATCAGTCGTGTATTTAGTAAGTTATTATCCCTAATGGGCAATCAATTGAAAGGGGTTTAATGGCAGGAGAAGCAGATTTCTATTGGATCACTTGGATCTGATAGGAAGGAGGTCGATGGTAAACGGAATGAAGATGGAAGCAGATTAATGGCCGATGATGCATTCTTCCGACAGTTTAATAGGGCGTTAAAGGAGAAGGATAGTTTCGGTAGTGATGAGAATGAGCAGAAGGGTTCAAGGAAAAGGAAAACACCGGTTGAGTTTTCTTCAGGTGCTCCTCTTCAAGGAGCCATTGATTAGGTTTCTTCCACAAATTTCATGTTCTGACTTTCATACTCACTTGTTCAATGCTTTTTTTTTAATCTTTTAGCCATGACATACATTTCTTCTTCTTCTTCTAACTTTTCTTCAGTTCAAATATTTGAGATTTATCAGAATTTAATTTTATTGTACCCTAAATCTATTAAATCCCCCTAAAAATCAGATTTAATAAATCCAAATTTACCTCTAAAAATTAACGAAAGGAGAGATTCATTTTTTTTTAAAAAAAAAAGAGCTTTACAAATTCAAATTCATCATTACCGTTTTCTTAAAAATCTGCTAATTACTCATCTTTTGTTCTATCTTAGGGGATACTGATGGCCACCAAAAGCACTTAGTTGTTCTTGGAGATGATCCGAAGCCAAGGCCAAGGATTCAACAAAAGCTTATGGATCAGAGTGGAAAAACAATATATAATCATTGTGAGAACTCTGAATTAATTTTAAATTCTATAATTTTGGACTATAATGTTTTAGGGCATTTACATACATCATGCATGCCACCCAATCCCCATGTATTTTTACATATCTAATACCTAAACTTTACTTTTTATATTTATACCACTCAAATCTTATATCTGTCATAAAAAAAATCCCAAATTTAATTTTAATAAAGAGGAATAAACCATTTCATTTATAAGTTTTAGATGTGTATATACATACAAATTGAGTGGCGTGTTTGAAAATTTTTCTAATATTGGAAAAATTATTACGGTCGGATCAGATGGATGCGTATGGGTTCGGATTTTGTGATATTTTGGTAATATTGGTGGTATTACAGTGCAAAATACCACCATTACTATTTAAAGACAACCAATCCCTAACCGCCTCTATTGTTGGAAAAATTATTGCATACAGACACCGCATGCAGAGATGCATGTCACTCAATAGTGATCAACAAATCCCTAATGTTCAAATGCATGCATCTCTTCCCTAATTTTCAGATGCATGCATCTCTGCATGCGGTGTCCAATCTACACCGCATATAACGGTAATCTACGGTGATGATGTATTTTGGTGGGCCCCATTTTAAATTTTAAAAAAAAAAAATTGATTGCATTCTCACAGTAGATCACCGTGATCTACGGTGTAGATCGGACACCGTATGCATCTCTGCATGCGGTTTCCATATGCAATAATTTTTTCTAGTGTTGGGGTACGTAGTTTTTTTTTTTAAAAAAATTTGATTGCATCCTCACAGTAGATCACCGTGATCTACGGTGTAGATCGAACACCGTATGCATCTCTGCATGTGGTCTCTATATGCAATAATTTTTCCTAGTGTTAGGGCACGTAGATGCATACCATCCAATTTAGATGTATTTACATATAGCTCCTAAACTTTACTTTTTATATTTATACTACCCCAATCTTGTATATCACATAACAACATCCCAATTTAATTTTAAAAATGAGTAATACACCATTTCATTCTGAGGGAAGGTCGTAGATATGTAAATACATAGGAATTGAGTAGCATGTCTGTAAATCTTCCTAATGGGCATTTACATACACACCACCCAATTCCTTTGTATTTACATATCTATCACCAAAACTTTACTTTTTACATTCATACCACCCAAAACATTACATAAATTGAAATATGTGTTAGATTTGTAAATGCATTGGAATTGAGTGGCATATATGTAAATTCTCCTAATGTTTTTTTCTCTTTTTTTCAGATGCCAGCGGCTGGGGATGGTGGGATGGTGACAAAGAAGGAATTGACAGTGAGGAGGTGGGCTACAATGAGGTATGGGAGGGTGTGGGGAGCACTACACTTGGAGGTTTGGAGTGGCATTGATGAGATTCATGGGGGACTTTATGTTAAAGGTCAGAACTTTTTTTCCTGCACAATCTAACTTGTTGGACGCTTGTTAAGGGATGTTAATTTGCATTAATGGGATCTGTTTGAATTTGACATGAATTTGACATGAATTTGACATGAATTCAGACTCACTTGAATATGACTCTAGTAACTGATTTAAGATAAGGCTTAATAATTATTCTATATCAGAAAATGCATTTTTTGGGTCAAATTTAATTTTTGGGGTAAATTTTGGTTTTTGAATCAGCTCAAATGTATTTGAAGATTAAATGAGTTTAAATTTGAGAGTTGAAATTTATATGAAGATTAATTGGGTTAAATTTTAATTAAGATGGATTTAAATGTCGTTAAATTAATTAATAAAAAATATATTATATTCATTTCAAAATAAAATTAATGACTTCAATTCCATTTTGATCCCAAAAAAAAAAAAAATCTTTATACATTATTAATAACTGTTTATTATTCTACACAAATCTCTAAGCATGGCTCGAATTGCGAGATAATTTTTAGAAAAAGAAATGTTCCAACCTAAAAAAAAATGATTTTTAACTCTGACTTCAGCAAACATACAATCAAATTTTCCGGTTCGACAAGATGAACACAATGACATCAAAATTAGTTTGAGTCAATTCAAACTCAATTCAAGCTGTTTAAATCATTTTTAAAAGATTTTGTGTCACAATTGAAAGGTCAAACATATTCTAAATTTGATAACTTCATAGTTAAACAAAACGGTTCGACATAACAAATCCAATGAGCCTAACATCACTTAATTTTGTTATTATTAAAACCCACAAATGTCCACAATGTTGTTTGTCTGCGAGAATTTCTCATGATGTCCGATAGAATAGTTCAAATTTTATTCCTTAATTGCAAAAAAACTTCTGTCAAACTCTATATTTAGAGTCTTACTCCCCTCATGAAAGGGGATTTGAGATCTAGACCTTGAACCAGAAGAACAGGGATTTAGAACACAATTAAGGAGTTGAATTCCAATGCATTTTTTAGATCAAAGACTCGGTGATCGCCAACCTCATTTAGTCGGTGCAACGAAACCATTTGTTGAATCATGATATGTGTTTCGTTAATATTCGTTGCGAAGAAATACACTTTGAAAACTGTATATTAAAGCTCCAACAACTATTTGTAGCTGCATTCACTCTTGACTATATTTCAACAAATATCTTAACTCGCGGAATTCTGTGACTCTTTTTTTACCCATGGTGTGTACATGTAACAATAGATCATTTCAACAAGGTTACACCGCATGATTTTTTTCGTATTCATGTTTTTCACATAAAAAATTTTGACATCCCGACCTTTCACTTTTATTATTTGAACATGCAACATTAATACAATAATTCATTCCTCTACTGCTATGAATCTTATAGCATGCATCAAATCTAAAGAAAATATTTATTTATTTAATTTTTTTTTTCCCTTTCAAATAGCCTACCAGAATTTAATTAGGCTAAAATTTGAATCCATTGAATTTGGTTTAAAATGAGCATAATATTAAGAAAAATCAAATAAGGCTTGGACCAATTTATTTTAATTAACAAATTTTCTCAGAATTTTTAAATTAAAATTATCTCTTCATGAAGTCAAATAAAAAAATATTCATATGAAAGATGAACATGGTAATTAGGAAAAATTATTGCATATCTACATCGTTGATCACGATGATCGACGGTGAGGATGTATTTCAGTGGGCCTCACTTTTTAAAAAAAAAAATTGATTGCATTCTCACTGTAGATCACTATGATCTACATTACAGTGTAGATCGGACACCGCATGCAGAGATGCATGTGCATGCAATGTCCGTATGCAATAATTTTTCAATAATTAGACATTCTATAAATTTTAATGATGCTTAAAAAAATGCTACTTCAAGTTGAAGAATAGCTTCTACATAATTATTTGATCACCCTTTTATCCCACAAATTCCTAACAACTAATTAAATAAAGACAGCAATTGATGAAAATAGTTTCCCAAAGGTGAAACATACACCTTTTCATCTATAGTTCTCCGACACCAAGGTGTTATAAATGTAAATATCAAATTACAGGTGTCAGAGATATGTAAATGCATAAGAATTGTGTGGCATATATATATATATATAAATTTCGCAAAAATTACTTTTTTGGGGGATTTGAAGTTTCTTCTTCGATCTTTATGATGCTAAGCTGACCGCCTTCTTTGCCGGCCATATTTGCTGCTTTGATCTCATTGCATTGATTTATAAACTTGCTGAGTTCCTGATATACATAAAAAAAAAAAAAAAAAAAAAAATATCTATATCATATCAACCAAATATTTTATATGGCAGATGATCAATATATTGATTGGGAATTATTGAATTTGCTTTAAGATTAGTAAAATATATGATTATTCAAATATGATTAGTGTTGCTTATAACACATGCCTGAACCCAGCATCTCAGGAAAGAGTCATTTACATAACAGACAATTCTTATATATTTACGCATAGCTGTAGGATGTTAAGGGTAGGACGTTTATATTAAAATATCATTTTATTTATAAAAAAAATGATAATTTTTCAAGTGTCCTCTCGTCCTTTCTCGTAATATTACTGTTCACGAGGCGGTATCGCAAGCCGGCATAAGATTTTTGCTGGCACCCGAGCATCATAAGGAAATCATGAAGGCATTCAGAGTTTTCGTTGCCTGACAGTCTTGTCGGGCATTAACAATCATCATCGGGGCTGACTATCTTTCTCAAGAAGTGCAGGTCAAAGTTAATGCCAAAAATTTTAGCACAGTGTGTGTTGCTTAAGACCAAGAAATTAAATTTTTGCCTGAAAGATCCTATGAGAATAATCCATGATCTTCTTGTTTTTTTTTTTTTTTTTTTTTTTTTTTTTGCACATAATGATTCGTGGCACCGAGAGAAACTAGAAATGTTTCTCCAGTTGCTTATCTTTCTCCCCAGACTACTAAAGATGGAATACTGTGGATGCAATGATTTTATAATTTCAAGGAAATTTTATTTGAGACGTAATATATATATATATATATATAAGGGTTAAATGTTGACAAATTTTAAATTCTGAAAGACAAAATGAGACAAACTTTTATTCTATTATGAGCAATTTGTGGTCGTGGTGATGAAAAAATTTATGAAGGAACCCTCTGAGCGAACTCCTGTAGTATCCGCAATGCGGCAGCTCCTAATGAGCAACGATTGAGAAGTACTTCCTCAACAACAACGCAAGAGGGGCGAGCCTCTGCCTCTATAAGCCAACACATTCTCAAAAATACGGAAGGTTGAATGGTTAGGCATTAACTTCCTTAACTCTTCACCCGACTTAGGTTGTTGTTGAGAGAGTACTTCACAGTCACTGCTTGGTTGGGGCAGCTTCACAGGTACCGCGGGGGTTGGTTTAGAGAATCTCTTAGATTTCTTCAACATAGCGACCGCGGAATGCTCAGGTTGGAATGAAAGTTTGGCTTTGAATGATTCATCACTCACAAATTAATAAATATATTGTCTCAGACGACATATTCTTGAAATCATGAAATTCTAGCATACATAGTATTTCATCCTGAGTAGTCTTGAGAGAGATGGGTAGTAGTTGAAACCTCCCTCGCATCTCTCAGAGCCCTCAATAATTATGTGCAAACAAAAGTTTCACGAACCACTATCTCATAAAAACTTTCAGGTGAAAATCTAACGTCTTGTTCTTAAACAACATGTGATCCTGTGCGTCACTAAAGAACTAGCACAATCGTGCTAAAATTTTTGGCATCAACTTTAAGCTGCACTTTTTGAAAAAAACGTCACTACCTGAAAAGATAGTTGGGCAATGCCAACTCCAAACGCCTTCATGATTTACGTATGCTCAAGCATCGACGAAGATCACAGTCTGTCTCATAACAATGCACTCGAAACAAGGAGAATATGCTCGATCAGCGGGCGTCAGTGATTTCACCACCATATTTTTAGGAAAATAATACTTCTTTGAAAAAAAAAAAGATCAAATCACCATCTGTCAGGTTCCACACCGCCTCTTCTAGATTCCGACATCACCTTTAGTTTTCGACAAGGCGAGGTTCCCCGATAGTCTGCATGTCGACATACCGAAAGATCCTGTCGATCGCCCACTATGTAGGACAGTGTAATTTTGTTCTACACAACAACATGAAATAATATCCCATTAATAGACGTCTACGCATGTTGAAAATGACTTTTTTGCTTTTGAGAAATCATGCTAATCACTCGCTAACAAACCGAGGAGAAACCACCTCCATCCTCTCCATCATGCCTATTTATAGGCTAAAACAACTAAAATTATGTTTCCAAAAAAAATTGAATGATGTTCATCATTTCAAATTTCATGTATTTATTGATTCTTTGTCATCATTCTGCATTCCCCTGCCTCTGTCAATTCCTTGCCATTATTCTACATTCCTGCCTCTGCCAATTTTTTTGTCATGCCCGTGCAAAAAGTTGACGTCAAACTTCTGTCGTCCGACTCTCACTTCTCATTTATATGCAATATATATATATATATATATATGTTATACACACGGTTTAATAAATATAAGAGAACTATCAACAATAACTTCCTATATATAATGACATTTTCATATGAAATTGATCCCACCCGAAAAAAAGAAGCAATACATACAACATCAACAAATTTCAATCATTCGACATGAATCTCGAGCCATGACACAGATCTTGAAATGATATTTTGAGCAAGAAAACTTCTCATTTGATTATAAGTCATCCAAAGTCTTGATTTCAACAAACTTACAAACAAATTTAACAACTCAACGATTAACGAACTCAATGGTACCAATATCAGTACAATATAAACCAAATCAAGCCCGATCAAGACATTGAAACATTTTAGAAGTTTTTTATACATATTTGAATGGTTAAATAGATGTGGAATCTGACTAGCTTATAGTCGAATTGAACACCTCGATAAGACGGATCTAAAGAGACCCAGGTCGCCTAATTGCGACACCATTAAAGCACTCAAATGTCCATCAAATGCCCTCTGATCAAGAGAATTTTGACGAGTTGTACGATTGAAATGACATATATTTCTTCATTAATTGCAATCGGGATTCTATAAATAGAACCCTAGTCCCCTCTTCAAGGGGGCTTGGAGCTTGAAACCTGAAGAGTGTGAAACTTGGAGAATGAGCTAAGTTCCGATCTTCTTCTGCACTACTGATATATTGACCATTAGTCGCCGACCGCCGCCAACCAGAGATGGCCACCACTTGCAGGCTACCAACGATTACCATTGGTCGTCACCCACTTATGACGAAGCACCTTATGAAATAACTTATGAAGCGACACATCATCTCAGACGTCGTGTCGACCCTAAAGACGGTGCATTTAAGCCCTGACTATTACTTCCCCCTGCGATCCTCCCTATTATGGAGCAACAAGCTTATTTGTGCATCGATGATGTAACTCGTTTAACTTTTGCCCGCATGAAGGACAAGAGGTTGTAACTCTAATCACCAATTCATAGTAGATCTCTTCAATTGGGTCAAACAACATGATTTTTAAGATGAAATCACCAATATAATCCGTTACTCTATCGCCATAATGTTAAGATTCATTTTTGAAAAATTTAAATCATAATTAATACCTTTAATATGAAAGATATGATATGATGTTAAGATTCATTTTTGAAAATTAAAGGTACAAATTTGTAATAATGAAAATAAAATAAAATTAATAACTACAATTTCATATAAAAAAACACAAGTAGGACTTAATGGTATCTCAATAAATATATGAAAATATTTAAGAGATTTGAGAATTTATTGGTTTACTAAACTTTTTAATATTATTTTAAAAACCAAAAAGACGCCTAGAAAGTTGAGGAAAAGCATTTTGATCCCCATTTTTAAGAAAAAAAGGGGATGCACAAGAGTGTATAAATTATAAATAAATTAAATTAATGTGCCATACAATAAAATTATTGAAGAGAGTAATTGAACATAGATTAAGACGTGATACTATATTTCTCATAATCAGTTTGGATTTATGTCGGGCAAGTTTACTGTGGAAGCTATACATTTATAGAGAAGTTTGATGGAGAAGTATAGAGAAAATAAGGAGGATCTACAAATAATTTTTATTGATTTTGAAAAAACTTACAAAAAAGTTGTAAGAGTACTTTGGAGAATTTTAGAAAAGAAAGAAGTTGATAAGACTTATATTCAAGTCATTAAAGATATGTATACTAGACTTATTACTTGTGTTCAAACAAAAGGAGGATTGACCAAGTTTTGTTTTTTCGGTTGTATTATATTAGGTATCGGCTTAAAGCCCATCTCTTTTTTACTTTAGTTATGGATGCTCACATTTACAGGCAGTTGAACCATGGTATAAGTTTTGTTGCTGATGATACCCTTCTTATGGATAATACTCGAGAAATAATTAAGTAAAAACTTGAATTATGGAGGTCTACATTAGAGTCTTAAGGTCTTCATTTGTGTTGATCTAATAACAAATACATAAAATGTAATTATGTTAGTAGTAAATATAATGACAGAATTGTAATAATGGATGATCCAATCATTAAAAGGAGTGAACGCTTTAGATATCTCAGGTCTATTGTTCAAAGTGATGGTGATATAGATGAAATCGTTATTAGTAGAATTCAGGTTGATTGGTTGAAGTAAACGAATGCATCGAGCCTATTGTGTGATAGAAAAGTACCGCTTAGACTGGAAGGAAAATTTTATAAGATGGATAAGATGGTGAAACCTACAATGTTTTATGGCGCAAAATGTTGGCCTATAAAGGGAAGCATAAAACTAAGTCAAAAGTGTTGATAAGATGAGAATGTATAGGTGGAAGAGTGGCTTGATAGTTGGAGACAAAATGTGAAACAAATTTATCTGTAAAAGAGTTTGTGTAGCTCCAATGGCAGAAAATATTAGAGATAGTATTCTCAGACGGTTTGGTCACATTAAACGTCGATCACCTGATGATTTGGTTAGTATAGTAGATGTTTTAGATTCGACTAAAGTTAAGGAAGGTAGAAGTAGACCTAAAAAGATTTGGGCATGTTGTATAAAAATAATCTTAATTTGTTAGAATTCAATGAAAGTATGATACACAATAGGGCACAATGGTAAAAAAATTCATGTCGCCGACCCCACTGAGTGGGATAAAGACTTGCTATATTTAATTTTAGAATATGTCCATAATTCGAGATAATTTTTATTTTTGGTTTATATTTTAATTGCTTAAATGGCCAAAATTTTTGTTGATATAGAGATAATTTTTTTTATAATATATATAAAAAAAAACATATTGATTTTTAAAATGTCTTATAAAAAAATTATAATTGTAATGCATATATTTTATAATATCCTAAAATAATTAAAAATATGAATTTTTTTCATATTTTAATTTTCTTAAAGATAAACAATTTCATTCTATAAAATAAAAATCATACAAAAATTAAACATTTCACGATAATGGACATTTCAAGTTTCATTTCCTATTAATGTCTAAAAATATTTAATGAATGCAATTATTTTGGTGTTTAATGGTTTAAATATCAAAGCTTTTGCAGTTGAGTTTTCCATTTACCAAGAACTTAATAATAATAATTAAAAACACCCACCAACAGTAATATTCAACTTCACACCTTTGATCATTTGTGTGGTTTTACACTCGCAAAATTAAATGAATTGGTAAGAATTGCGTTGCAATATGATTAATTGTATAGTTTTAATTGAAAAAAGCAATACTTGTTCTCATTTGTATTAATTTATCATATCATTGTATTTTGTTTTCCACATTTATATGTGTTAGTTTGTGATTTAGGGGATGTTCGGTAGTATATTATTTATATGATTTAGGGTTGGATTTAACTTAAATACATCAAAAAAAAAAAAACAACAAACAATTAACAACAAACAATTAAAATTAAATTAAATCAAACACTCCATTAAATTGAATTTTCCCACGTTTCGCCTCATTACTAAATCCGATTGCAAGGCGTATTTATTCAGTCGTCGCTCGTGAGCTCCTCCATTGCACACTGGATCAAATCTAGATGATGAATTTAACTTATATCTATCTAAACACCGAAAAGTTAAAATAAAATTAAATCAAATGCTCAATTAATTGAATTTTCTTGTGTTCCTTTTCATTTACAAGCTAAATTCAGATTTATTAAATCCAATTGTGAGATGAATTTATTCTTTCGTCGCTTGTGAGCTCCTCCACCGCGGACTGGATTTGATAAATCCCGATTTATCGGATTTGATAAATCCTAATCAACATAAATCTAAGTTACAGTCAAACACCGCCTTATTAATCATATTTTTAGCTTCCATGATAGATTTTATTATGAGGATATGAAATTAGTTGAAATCTAAAGAAATTCATGTTCGTACACGCCTAATTTGATTAGCCTCTCTTGACATGTTCATATAATTAAAAAAAAGGATAACCACCTTTATTAAAGACTAATGGTAGCACTTTCATATAATCATGCTTAAGACTCCTAGGGGGGTGCATATGCTCCTTTTTAAAAAACAAATATATTGTGTGTTTCTTATGCTAATAAGGATAATTAAGCAGCTTCTTTTTATAATTTCGCCTTCATGCATATATAATTTGGCATATATATATATAAATTGAAGTTTATGCATAAGATATGTAAATAAACAAAAAATGAAGCGTTCTACATGTAAATCTTCTTACTATATAACAAAACAAAAGGGTGAAAGTAAGCTTACCAATCCAAGTTAAAAATATGGCCTTAAAAATGAAGTTTGGTTATCGTCAGATTTACGAAATCCAACCCTAAACCCTAACCCTAAATTTAAGATTTAAGAACTCAAATTTGCTTTCGATTCAGCTTAAATCCGAATTTAATAAATCCAACGAAGTGATGGATATAAGGGATTTACGATTTACGAATTTACTAAATCTTACTAATGCTAAATCCTACTTGCAGCCAAACCAAACACCCCCCATAAGCTTAGACCTGAGACGATCTGAGTTGGTTCATAACTTCAAGCCATGGAATGAATAAAGAGGAAGGCGATGGAAATAACTTACTCGATTGGCTTTCATGTCGTCGGTTACATTTGAGGGATTCAAAACTCTTTTCCCTGAAATGATAAAATGCGAACAATAAAGTTCGATGTGCTGTGAAATTCTCGTTCTGATCAGAAAAGAAAGCCAAAATGGTGGATCGACGATTCACCTTTGCGGGCGTGAGGGGTTTTGCCATGACGATTTGGAGGAATCGTCTTCTTCTTCTTCTGTCCCTTGAAGAGATCGCCCTTCTGCGTCATGCTGGCGGGATTTCGAAGATCTCGCGGCGGGAGGCAGCCCGCGCTTCGCTTCTTTGCGTCCTCTAGGGTTTTTGAGTAGTGAGGGGTTTGGGCTTGGTTTTGGGCACTTGTTAGTTGGGAAAATTTGAAGCAAATAAAATAGGAAAATTTACTTAAGTGCCCCTCAATTCGAGTGTATTTCTACATGCCCCATTGCTTTTGATGTGATATGAAAATTTTGGGTGATATAAATATAAAAAAATAAAATTTAAGTGTTATATATGAATATATAAGAATTAGGTCATATGTACTCAAATGTTCCTATTATATATCTAAATTTTAAAGTTTAATTTTTTATATTTATATCATCCAAATATTTAAGCTCATGAGCTGGATCTACTCGACTCGTTAACTCGTGAGCTGGCTCATTTAAAAAAATATTAATATAAATATACTCAAAATGAATTAAATATCAAAAATTTATTTTAAAGGTATTAAAAATGTTTAAAAAATAATATTTTGTATTGTATATTACATGATTTTATATAATTCATTTCCTAATTATTCATTCTATTTGTCATCTTATTATAAAGCTAACTTAAATTAATATTGTTTTTCACTTTTATAATCCGGCTTGTGAGTCAGCTCAAACTCGTGACTCAAGCTCGAGCTCGAGTTGCAACTCGATAAAATTAATGAAGCTCAAGCTCCAGTCGAGGGTAGCTCGAGCTTGACTCGACTCTTTTACACCCCTAGTCTCACCTACATTAAGCTTCTCCACAAGTCTCTCATATACAAGAGTGAAATAATTATAAAGTATGAAATTGTTTCGTTGATGGTAAAGGAACAATCAATATTACCTTCAAGAGAAAGTTCATCGGCAAGCAATCAGATCTGAACCATTGGTTCTACATCTCAATCTTACATCTTCACAACCTTATCCACACCATAATCCTTTAGAATATTTGAGGGAAAAGGCCATTGATCTGCAAATTTTCTTAACAATGCACTAAAATATCAAGATCATATACTAATTAAAACTAAAAGGGATGTTGGAAATAGGGGCCTAGTTACCAAAACTAAGCTTTGGAAGCATAAGTACGTCAGGACCCTTCCAGTCATTTTGGGTGATTAGAAACTTGCCCTCATATGATGTCTTTCGAGGCAACAGTCGTTGGCTCTTCAGTAGAAGGATCGATGGCTGACAACATGTGCATCTTTATTGGAGCCATTTCATTTTGATTGACTTATTAGGCTACACTCAAGATTTTTGTCCTCCCCACAGGACTGTCCGACGACCCTTTTTCTTTCTCGATAGGCTTCAAACTCATAGCTCCACCTTTCTTTCCTTTAAAGTTAAGAGAACCCTAGAATTCTTCCCTTTCTTTAACTTCTGCTGCTAGATTTATTTCAACCATTCCTCCTAGACATTCATCCCTTCTTTGGAAATCTTTTTCATCAAAGCTGTATTGAATTAACGTCAAACACTTGAGAACAGAGAGGAGTGCAATAACGGAGCCCATGACTCACTAATCATCACAAAAACTAGTGCAGCTATTGAGTATCGCATAAGGAGTTAATTCGATAAACTCTTCTAATAATCATTGAAATTAATTTTCTGTTATTAATATTATTTTCTTCTCTTGATGAGGTAACGACACATTGACAAATGTTGCAAATATTCAAGTGGTGCCTGTTTCGAAAAACTTGAAAGTTATTTTCCGATAATCCTGAAGAATTAACATCAGTACAAACTCCATGATAGGGAAGTTTCGAAAACTTAATACTCTATTCTACCATTATCTAGGAGTGCATATTCCCCTGATGACTGAAGTGAGACACACCCATTCTTTCTTATTAAATAACATGTGTTTTGCCCAGGGTAACTCGACAAGAAAAATCGTTCTTTATCCCATTTAGGTCATGACAAAAGAAATAATCCATTGTCATAACAAAAGAAATAATCCCTGGTCATTCTGCATGAAGAAAAACCTTGCAAATCACTATATAATCGGATCCCATGTGTGAAGATCCAATCCCCTGCCATTGAAAAACAAGCGACCCCATGTATCGCTAGAAAAACCGACTAACTGGATTAAAATCCCTGGAGTTAACTTCAACCCAGATTTTTAGAAACAGACTATCAACCTGATGATGACTGCCACTGTTCAATAAGAAATTGTGAAATACTTACCTGATAGCTTTACAAATATCAGGCAACTCGGTCGCCAACGAAAGTCATAAGTCGACCCACAAAGTCATCTCGCGAAGAGAAATATATCCCGAGGGGGGGGGGGGGGGGGGGGGGGGTGAGAGGAGTAAGTTCGATCTGTCTGAGCAATAATCTTCACCACCATATAATTCATAAAATAATATCAAATTAATCTCAATCAAAAAGAATTCTTAATCTGCCTCTAACTTTCATGATGGCGTCATTCACTAGGTGTCAGTGTCTTGCAAGATTGAAAACTTCTTTGGAATGTGTGACAAGGAAGCTCCAAACTTTTCCTCTACAAAAATTCCCCTTTAGAATGCACAAGGGGAGTCCTTTAATTCTGTTCTCACCTCTTAACCCTCTTTGGGCTCCAAAGAACATGAAATTATCCTCTAGAACACAGAATGGGGAAACTCAAAGCCTTTCTTCAACTCTCTCTTTTTAGGCTCCAACAATACTTGAAATTCCCATGTGGAGCACACGGTGAGAAACTATAGGACTTTCTCCACTTGGGTTTTTTTCTTCACCTTCTCCCTCTTGCTCCCCATGTACCTTCTTCTTCACATCCCAGAGGTCTTACTCCCTTTAAGCCCCTTTTTATAGATCCCAAAGCCTAATTCTTGCATATTTTTGTTCCAAAACTTACATAATTTCAATCTGATTTGGGCCTTGGATTCCAACGCCTCATTCAAACCACTTGATATGTGCTTTACATCCCATCACTGATTGGAGACATTGGATCCATCGTGTGAATCCTGCCTTCCGATCTAGCTCCCCTAGATCATTGACGTGATGAGCCCGCAAGTGGCCCAAAAACCAGCACAAGACCTGCTACTTTGGGCCAACGCGCGAGGCCTCACCCGCCCGACCCGTGTGCCCATTGACCCTACTTACTCCGGCTTAACACCATACCAACCAGCGTAGCTGACCCAACCCGCACCACGCTTCACTGCCCACCGGTCCTCCATTGTCCGTCACCATGCTACCAACCACCGAAATATTATTTTTTTGCACATGTATCCTTTTATAAATCAAGTGACAGATTTTTCCCTCCACCAAAAAGTTCATTAGCTTTATAATATCATGCCAGCGTAGCATTGCCCTCCGGTCTGGCGGCCCACCAACCACCCGCCGGAGAACCATTCTCAACTAACACCAAGACCAACGAAATCCCCCAAATCCCCACCTCCAACCCGCGGAGAAACAAAGCCTCGCGGCACCAATCTCCAATGTGTGGTCATGGAGCCCACGCCGGTTTAGCGTGGGTGCATTTTCTGGTGGATTCACTTTTTCTTAACCCTCAGTTCTTGATCATATTTACGCCAGCGTGCGGCTCCCATCCATCCCTACCGCTACAATGAACGCAGCTTCTCACACTATAAAGCAGAGGTCCAGAGCGCAGAACCAGAGAGAGTGAGAGAGAGAGGAGGGTGCTTGGAGTTAGAGAGAGAACTCGCCGAACCCTAGGCCCTTCTTGCTCGCATGGCGATGGCGGCCGTTGCCGCCGTCTCCTCTTCCAGCCTCTGCTCCTCCGGCAAACGCCTCCGTTCGATCTCACACCGTCCTTCCTCATCCCGATTTCTAGCCACTACTGTCACCCCCTCATCTCATCGCCTCCAGATCTTCCGCCTCCGTCCTACTCGAAACTCCTTCCTCGTCGGATCTGGCAGCGGCGACGGAGGCTTCGGCTCTGGAAACTCCGGTGGTGGAGGCGGCGGAGGTGGAGGGGATGAGGGGTCGAGTGGGAAGAACAGGACGGAGGCGATTCTTGCACTTGCTGAGATCGGTCGGTCGGCTGATAGCTTACCGGCCGACTTTGCTGCGGCGGTTGATGCGGGGAGGATACCGGGGGAGATAGTGTACCGTCTCGCGAATTTGGAGAAGTCTCCGATCTTCCGATGGCTACTGCAGTTCGGGGGTTTCAAGGAGAGGTTGCTAGCGGATGATCTGTTCCTGGCGAAGGTTGCTATGGAGTGCGGAGTTGGTATTTTTACTAAGGTGGGTTTTTAGTTTTAGTCTGCTTCTTGTTTATGGTTTTTGTTGTTGGTGTCGGTTTTATTGTGAATACTGTTCAGCACTTGTGCTCTAATGTGTAGCACGTCAGTTCGAAAACAAATTTCAAATATCGGGGTAAAATGTAGGATTTAAATAGATTTATTAGTAAATCCTGACAAATCCAAATTTATCAAATCCCGAGGCAGGTAAATCTAAAGAACTGCTTTGTATGGTTGTAATTAAATCCTGCTCAATCTCAGCAGGTCAGCAGCTCAGCAGCAGTAGCTCCCTCTTCATCTTGCCTACATCTCTTAAATCCAGTGTTTAGTTAATCCGAATATTGGGAGAAATGAAACTAATTCGGATTTAACCACTCCCTGCATTTAAAGTGCACACATTTGAATGTTTGGCTGAATTTACAGTAAAACGTAAATACTATTGAAAACTCACTATGAAACAGCCTTTAAGTTTTGCAGGAGTTTTATAAGAGGCCTTTTGGATGATGCTTGTTTCTTTTGGGGGCTTATTAACTGTGTTTCATGTCGTTGGATATGTAGATTATTCAAAAAAAAAAAAATTTATCTCCTCCTGCGACTGAAATTAATGCATTCATTTGAAATATAGTGATACTGAAATTAAGAAGTTCTTGTTACATTCCTATAGTTTACCGCTAAACAGAAGTAAATGGACACTCATCTAAGGTTTGGGTTGTTGTTGATGATATAATACTAAAATCTGCACTATGGTTTTTGGATTGAAAGTTAGGAGCTTCAAAATGTTGTTTTTTCCTTTTTCTATTATCTTCAGTGATTTTTTTTAGAAGATTTACATACATCCTACTCAATTTGTATGGCTTTACATATCTAACACCTAAACTTCAGTTTTTACATACATGCCACCTTACCTATGCATGTAAAAGTGTGTTTCACCTTTTAAAAGTTAAAATGTTGGTATTTTTTTTGTGATAAAAGATTTGGGCGGTATAGCCGTAAAAAGTAAAGTTCCAAGTGTTACCCATCTAAATATATAAGAACTGAGTGGTATGTATGTAAATGTCTCCCTTTTTTGCGTGGATTGTGAATCACCAATGCACCAACAACCCTGCCCCCTAACCTATATGCATTTAAATCTTTTGCTTGCTAGCTTGGAATTTACACTTGAAGCTTAAATATATTCAAGATATGATGCATCTGATTGCTTATTAATGGCTTCATGTACATATTATATGTGTTTTTCATTTTTCTATTGGGAAATGGACTGCCTTACCAAGAGTAAATTAAGTTAAAATCTCATGATGTTTTTTTTTTCTTATTTTATTTTAATTTTTATTATTTTATATTCGTTATCATAGCATATATACATTTATTTCTTCTTTTCATTGATGCAACCTTAGTACTTCCATGGGTTATGGCCTGACATTTTCAAGGATTTTTTTCCAGACTGCTGCGGAATGGGAACGTCGAAGAGAGAACTTTATGAAAGAGCTTGATTTTGTTTTTGCAGATGTGGTACACTTTCTATAACACATGAATATTTTATTTTTAATTAACTATAATCTGTGCCCAAAAATGTATCCATTGCTCTAAAATTACAGTTTTCAATTTCCTCCTTATTACTTGTTTTGTAATAAGTTTGAATAACTAGACCGTGTCTGAAAATCTCTCAGTTTGTTATTCAAATGCGTTGTCCATGTGATTGTTAAGTCTAGCTGTGAACTTAATTTTGGTTGGGGTAACAAAAAGGGTCATTTAATTTGCTAAATGGTTATTATAGGGCGTATTTTTTGTCACTTTTGCTTTTTCTTTTTGTTTTCATTTTTTGCTTTTGGAATTTACATATCTAGCGCACAATGCTTATGTATTTACATATCTTACACTTAAAATTTCATATTTACAAGAATTGCTTTGGTGCTTTAAACCTACGCATGAAAAGGCCTATTTCAGTTTAAAAAGTGATAATAGTGCTATTTTTAAGCGATATTAAAGATTTGAGTGCTATTGTGTAAATATGAATGTTTAGGTGTGAGTTATGTAAATACATTAGAATCGTGTGCCATGTATGTGAATGCTCCTTTTGCTTTTGTTATTGAAAACATTTTTGATTAGTGTAATTTTTGCTTAAAAAAAACAAATCACCTTGACTGTTTTTAAAAAACAACTAACACAATCAAAGTTCTTTTAATTCCAATAAAAACATAAACAATATAAAAAATAAAAACAATAAAAAGAAAAAACAAAAAACAGAACTGTTTTGGAAAAACCCCTCAACTTTCATCAGTGCGCAGGACTTCATCATCAGATTTGTAAGGTTTTGATGAAGAAGAATAAGAATAATATTAAAACATTTGAAGGTCTTGTGAGTATGTGTATTATTTTGATGCTAACACAGGATGACTTGGAAGCATACTCATCTACATGATGAGCATATAAAATACAAACTACTAGAATCTTGGATATTATTAATCCATTTCAAGGTAACTTTCTATTTATAATGGTTTGAATTTTTATAGATCTTTTGAGATATTTGTATTTTTGGGATTTATTATTTAATCATTTCCTTTTGTTGTTTTAAGTTAGTTTAATCATTTTTTGAAAACTTTTTAATTATTGGAAGATTTAGATACATACGACACAATTCATTTGTATTTACATATCTAACTTACATATCTAACACTAAATTTCAATTTTTACATACAAGCCGCCGTACCTATGCATGAAAAGGTTTACTTCACATTTATAAGTTAAAATAGTGGTATTTTTTATTTGAAATTTAGATTTGGGTGGTTTAAATGTAAACAAGTAAAGTTTAGGTATTAAATATGTAAATACATAACAATTGGGCGGTATGCATGTAAATGCCCTTTATGCTTATATATGCTTTCAGTTGCTCATTCAAACTATTTTCTAGGTAATGGCAATAATTGCAGACTTTATGCTCGTCTGGCTTCCTGCGCCAACAGTTTCTCTTCGACCACCTCTTGCTGTAACTGCTGGTCGAATTGCGAAATTTTTTTACGGATGTCCAGATAATGCTTTCCAGGTATTACTCTGGTTATAATTTATAGGTTGTTTGGAGAAGAAGAACATTAATTATGTGGTCAGATTAATTTCATAATAGAAATAATTTCTGCAGGTTGCTCTGTCTGGAACCTCCTACTCATTTTTGCAGAGAATAGGCGCAATTGTGGTATGGTAGAAATTTTCTTCATTGTTATTTTATAAGGAAGATTTTCAGACATACCACTCAATTGCTATGTATTTATATCTAATTCCAAAAAATCAATTTTTACATAAATGCCGTCTCACCTGTACATGAAAAGGAGTATTTCACTTTTAAAAGTTACAATGGTGGCAGTTTTGATGTGATATAAAAGATTTGGGTGGTATAAGTGTAAGGACTAAAATTTGGGTGGTATGCATGTAAGTGCCCCTTTTTAGAACTTTCTTTCCGCAGATACTGAAACAGCTAAGCATAACATTATTTAATTGTTGGTTTTTTTTCCTGCAGAGGAATGGGGCAAAGCTTTTTGTGGTTGGGACTTCTGCATCTTTGGTGTGTTTCTTAAACGATTGATCTTGCCATGATTTCTTTTTTTAAATTTCTCTCGAAATATGCAGAATAGAAATTTATATAAATTAAAATTTAATTTGTTATGTTTAAAAGAAGGAATGAACGAACGACCAAATATACATTTAACTTGCTAAGTTATTATTTAACAACATTGTTGGTGTTATTTTTCAAAGGAATGTTTTATTACATGATTTATTGTGTGTATGGGTTCCTTTTTATCTCATTTTAATTTTGTGAGTTTTATCAAGTTTATCAAATGCTAAAAATCCTCACTCATCCAGCCATTTTTTTCCCTGATTATCTAATACTAAAAATAGAGGCATTTCTGGGAAAGTTATATTATAAAATAATTTGTTCTTATTAGAAGTTATGAGGATTAGATTCATTTTCTAATATAATTTTATTTTCTTTCTTATTTTAGATTTATTTTTTTGTATTGGATTTATTTCTTTCTCTATTTAAGGCTTTTCTATTTTATGTTGTTTCCTTTATCTCCAAATAATTAATATAAATTGATTAATTGGAGATATTAGGTGTTATATCTTTCATTTCTTGTTATTTTCTTTTTATTGTATTTCCTATTCTAGGAATCATGCAAGAGTTATTTATACCCCCATTTCATATCAATAAATAAACTCCACATTATTATGAATTTCAACATGATATCAGAGCCTTGAAACAAATTCTAAAGTCTCTTGCCGCTAAACTTCCTATTCCCCGCAGCTGACAATCACTTTCTAGTTCTTATGCCTGAAAATTCCTCTCCCCGCAGGCCCCGCAGTTAGAATTCCCTCCTGCAACTTTTCCCGCCGTTGGAACTCCCTTTTGTAGCCTTTCCTAACAGCCGAGTTTCCTTCCTCTGTTGTTTTTGTATAGATGTTGGTCGCTCTGTGAACTTCTGTAAATCCTAGAGGCTCCCTAGATGTAGATAAGTGAGGATCTCTTGGAATTCTAGTTCCCGATTTCTGCAATTTTCTAGTTCCAGATTTCTGTACCAACACATTCACCGTTTTGGTTCCTTTGGATCATCGATTTTCTTGGCATATCGAGATATCGAGGGATCTTTGTGTTACTGGCACTGATATGCTCTTCATGGCCTATTTGTGCAACTTCCATTGTTCGGTAAATTTCCTAATCTCACCGATCCACTGCTTTAGAGCTGTTTGTACTCGTTGATAAATTATTTTGGAGCTTAGAGAGCACTAATGAGGCACTCAGAACTCTTGAGGTAATTGGGTTAGAAAAACTAATGATGTACGTAGCGTAACATGCAAAGCCGTTGTAGAAAATCTGGGGTCATCATCTTCTACATAGAAAGAGTTGTGTTTTGTGTTGAAAGTGAATTCTATCTTGAAATGCGAGACTGAATCCATAAATCCATAAATTTTGAAGAGGCATTGCATCAAAGCATGTGGTTGTGTTAAAAGCTGCTAGCTCGGTGCCGAATTTTTATTACTCCATTGGAGGCTTACTTCTTGTTAAAAAGTAAGGTTCTGAAGTAATTTTACTAGATGCTGTTGGTACATTTCATGCCATAAAGGCACTAAGTAAGAGTGATGGAAGATGGCACTATGATTCTAATGGTGCCGAATCTAGCACTTGCTGATGTTTTTTCCTTGGCTGATTCTGGGGTGGACCAGTCTATGATTGGAATTGTCAAGAATTACATCGTCAAACTGTTTGACATCATACAAAGCTACAATGATGGTACGTTATACTTTAATGATAAACATGAGTGATTATGGAAGCCTGCTTGAAATTTCAACAACTATAGTGTGAATTGTGACAACATTTGCTGATATTTCTTCTGGGAGACTAGGAGACTAAATATTCCAGGCAACAAAATTTGGGCTTGGCTAAATTTTTCCTGCAGCCTACACCTGGCCCTCCGACGAAACAATCATTCCATTTCAAAATCTGCTGCTAAGAATGATTTTGAATGTAAACTCTTCCATTTCATTAGCATTTTGGCTTATATATAGCCATACAACATTTAGACATCTTCTATTTACAAATAAAACCCTACATAAGATATAAATATCAACAATTGTTACTATTTTTGGATATATATAAGGGTTATTTTTACCCCCTTTTCATATCAATAAATAAATTCTGTATTATTCTGAATTTCAACAATTTCAAATGAATAATTTCAGCAAATTCTTTCTATCTTATTAAGAATGTGTTGTTTCAAAGAAATTTGAGGTGGTATATTAAAAATGAACGAGTATTTAGGTAGTTGATCGATGGGATTCCGATCAGAGAGAGAAGGTAAAAATTGCTAAACCTATAAATATATGCTCAAACGAATCCTAATGGAGGACATGGAACCAAAATTAGATGATTTGGAAGAAAGCTGGATGGCTGAACTGTGGTGCAATTAAAGTCACCGTAAACAATCCAAGGATTAAGGAATCTAGAGGCATGACTACTAGGGTCATTAAAGAAGTATCACAACTCGTCTCTTTGAGGGGAACTTTTAATGGCATAAACAACCATGAGAAAAATAAATTAATTAATTAATTAAAAGTGAAAATCAGCTTAATGAATTAGGCGATGAATGGAGGAATTGATAATCTTAGTTGAAAACATATATTTTGAAGAAAAAAAAAAATCAAAATAGTCCCTCGACTTTTTGCAGGGGTCATTTGAGTCTTAAGAGTTTATAAAAAGCGTCAATTTAGTCCCCAGATTTTTTTAAAACGTGTTGAAATAGTCTCAACGGATCACTATTTCAGTCTCAAATTAAAGAGTCTATGGATTAGTTTAACATTTACATAGACTTTGGGATTAAAGTAGCCCCATGTAAATGGTTAGAGGACTATTATGACATTTTACTCCATATACTTGTGTAGCATCTGAAAGATACCACCAAAATAAACAAAATAAATTATGAATGAGTCCTTTGGAGGAGAAAATATTGAATTTATTTGAGCCGTAAGAGGAGCAAAGAGAAGCCTCCCATGACTTGGTTTCAAAAAGGTGAGTACGCCAACACAAAATTAATGGACCAACCTCCTGTAGTTACCTACCTTGGAGTTATCATGAAGACTCTTAAGATTCATAACAAGCATTTGTGTTAGTATTTACTTTATGCTTGTGGATATTCCTACCTTGCTACTTTTGTTAGGTTTTTTGCGAAGCTGTAAAGCTCCGGACTAACAAGAAGGGAAATTTACGTACACACTACACAATTCCCTGTATATACATTTCTAACTCCTATACTTTAATATTTACATTTGTAATACTTTGGTGTCATAAATCTATACATGAAAAAGTGTGTTTCACTTTTTAAAAGTAAGTAAAAATGGTATTTTTAATGTGATAATAAAGATTTGAGTGTTATAGATGTAAATTATGAAAGTTTAGGTGTTAGATATTTAGGTGTTAGATATGTAAATACATAAGAATAATTTGTTATTATGTAAATGCCTTTAACAAAAATTATTTGAGCAGTGCCTAAGGCACTTTGGTTGGGCAGAAATTGTAGGAAGGATTGTTGCTACTAGAGGAAAATCCATAAGATGAAGGGCCTTCAGCAGG